AGCCACCTGGCCTTGTGGCCATACCAACCCTGAGACGTGAGGTTTAAGCCCTGATGTTTACACAAGGAGGTTGATGCATCTATTTAGCGCATGACATGACTGGCTGGGTTACTTTCAGGTTCCTCCTGGGCCATATCCACCCACAATGCCAACAAAGAACAGGCTTTGTCCTGCAAAGCAAAAGAACTGCAAGTATGTCAGGTACAAGCCTCACTTGCTGCATCTGCATCCAGGAGCAGTGAAAATGTTTGGAGGAAAAGAGGAGAGTGTGATAGAATTATATGAGAACCAGGCAAGGAAATGCTCTGAATGCCAAACATTTGTCTCAGCATTAGGGTAGACAAAATGGCATTGTTATTATTGCAATTATTGACATATTGACAATATATCATTGCACACACAGCCTGATGGAGGTATTGATGCTCTTTGCTTTACCTGACCTGCATAAAGACCCAGGAGCTCCAGTCCCCCTAAGTCCCACTGAGGTGGTACAAGGAGATCTTTCAGATGAGTCCTTGGGCCATGTCACTTGGTTGAGAACAGTGCTATGTCCTTGCTCATGAACACCACTGCAGTAAATGCTGAGGGGAATGTTTCTTACCTCCCCTGATGCCCAGTTCCAGTGTAAAGCACCATGTTACTCCAGGCCATTTCATTTTGTCATTTATGACCATGATTTTGAATCTTACTCCTTCTCCCTCCTACTGCTCCAGGTTTATTTCTCAGCATATGCAGAGACAAAGGCAGCCTGTCTTCTGTATTTGGGTTGCCTTTGGCAAACACAGCTGCTTTTCTAGCAGTCAGAGAGAGGCAAGGGAGGTGCAGTTTAGCAGGACCCTCTTGCTTTCCATTCCCTTTGACTGCTGGAACAAGAGACAGGAGCTGGAACAGCTCAGTGTTGGACAGCTGCCACTCTGGGTCATCGTTCTCACCAGGGTGTAGCTATCTTTAGCCAGTAAAGACAGTAAAAAATAACTCATTGCTCAAGTCCTTTTCCCAATATCTCTCATTCTGAAATGATGCAATGAAATGACCTCACATGATTGTCTGGGGAAGCCCTCTCATTTCTGCAGCCTTATTTTTACATGGTATTAATTCAGACTAGGTGACACATCATGAAGGCACTTAATCTCAAGTCAAATTTGCCCAGTGACATTCACTGCATTTTTATTTATTGAACACTGGAAGTAAATGCACATTTGTGTTATTCAGACTGGAATCATATTAAAGAGTTGGGGGAAAAAAAAGATCATAGCTCTAATGGAAATAAATTGAGCCTTTGTCACTGTTAATAAAAAACTAAGATACTATTTTTCACTTATTCACTTTTAGTAACAGAGCAATCCACAATAAAACCTATTCTTGTGTTTGCAAACATCTGAACAACTCTTCTGAAAACGCAAAATTGCTTACAGTGCATGCAGTCTCACTCTTTTTTCTCCACTTTTGCATGTGCCTTGTGATCTGGACAAACAATTTCACACACAATTTCACAGTTCAGTCATTCTGATTCCAAAAAGAATACAACTATACTTGCAGCCTTATTTGTTCCATAAATTTTCTTTTCATTTTCCTTTAATTCTAATGTTCTTAACTCTTCCTCAGGGGGAGATCTGTCCTGGCATAGCATTGAAGTCAGATGCATATTGTGCACAGCAAATTCCAGGACACATTTTGGCTTGCTGACACTGAGGCAAACAGGCTCTCAGAACACAGTAAGTAATTTCAAGTTAAGAATAATGCACACTTGTAGCCCTCTCTCACTGCATGCCCTGGTAAAAACTCTGGAAAAGCAGTGATACAGGGGGGCTGTGGGTGTGTCATGCCTGGCTTGGTTCCCCAGCTCCAGGGAGATCATCCTGAACTCTGACTCATGGGAGCATGCTCAAGGCAAACAGGTGCCCTTCACTGGGAGTGGGGGCTGACAGCTGCTCTCCTGGGGACCCTTCTCCTGCGCCACTGCACATTCCAGAAAGGTTGCTCCTGCAGAAAAGTGAGGGGGTTGGGGGATCTTGCTTAGGGTCATTCCCTATCACCTTAAAGTTCATGACCAAAGACACTAATGGTCCCTGGTCCAAGGGCCAAGGACTGACCCCGAGGGGTCAGTAAGCAGCCTGGTGGGGGGGTGAGCCCAGCATGGGCTGTGCCATGCCCTCACCCCTGCAGCGTGCTTTTGGAAAGCCCAAAATCAAATGTTTCTTAGTTAAATTGGATACCTCAAGAAGCCAGGCCTTTTTACTTTTTGCTTTCCCTAAATTTAAAAGTATTTTTTCAGGGCAGTAAAATCAACATTTATTTCATACAAAATATTGACTTCACTACTCCTACTTCAATTGATGAATTGATTTTTCAAAGGCATTTACCTAATCATAGCTTTATAAGTAAATCCACAATGCAGTTGGATATAACAGATCTGTATAACAGATCTAGTTGAGAACATCTAAAAACAGTACTGCTGAAATTATGAAACAGCTAGTTTGGAGATACCTTCTATTTTCTATTCAAAAAACATGTAAGAAACCCCCTGTTCTGGGCCACTCAGTAAACAGCCTTTAAATACCGTCCTGAAGAAATGGTTGTTGATGACTCTACCAAGAAATTAATGGAAGAAAGACAAAATTCAGCAACTCAGAAGCACATGCACATTTACCAAGTAAAATCATTAGCTGATGTTATTTTAGAAATGAGTTTCTACAAACACATGAAAAGTGTGTTTTTTTCCCTCAAGAGGCTGTAAGTGCTGGTATAAGCAGATATTGTCCACTTTATTCTCTTTACCATTGCTTTGGTGCTCGAAAGTCACACCAGCAATCAGAGAAAGGAAATCCACAACAAAAAAAAAATAAAAAAAAAAGTCTGTGCATTGAAAGGTTGGAAATAAACCTCTGAGATCAAGTCCAACCTTTGACTGATCAACACCTTATCAACTGGACCGTGGCACTTAGTGTCACATTTTTTGTTCGGTTTTGATCAATTCCCCAGGAGCTTTTGTGGGAGAAGTACTGGTCTGAATGAGAATCTTCTGTAGTTTCTGATCCTCTTTTTCCCCATGTTTTTATACAAGAATGTGATAAATAGTGGTGCTGACCCCTCTGAGACTTAGTATCATATCTTCCTGGCAGCCCTGCTAGTCTTCTGCTGGCAATTGATCACTAAACAACACTCTCAACCATCTGTCTCCTAAGCAGTGTCCAAATCTGATGATATAACTGTATTTTTTCTATAGTAACTCTTTGGCATGTTCTCCTGTCAATATACCTAGGTTAGGCCAAGTTACAATACTCCTCCAACTTTTGGGAAGGAGAAACAGTTTTCCCCTTGAAACTGTACAAGTGTTTTCATTAATTTACTTTTTCTTGTCAGATGAAGATAAGTAAAATAATGAAAACACTTGGACAGTTTTTGTCAATGTTCATCTGACAGTGTTCATCAGTGAACCATGAGTTTGAGTTGAGTTTGACTATTGGTCAGTCATTGTGAACAAAGGAATGACATCCTGGCTGATGCCACCACCAACCAGAACAGTTCTACAGGACAGACAGAGAGACAGCTTTTTGGTAGTAATTTTTAAGAAATGGGAGGTAAGTCAGATTCTCACTTCTGCATGTTTTCAGCATCCATAACAGCTGTGCCAGTTTCCTTCACATCTCAAAGATGTCAGCCAAACAATTTCCCCAAGTATTTCTGATACGTATCTACTCTTTAAGCCATTTGATGCATAGACATCTGTGGTCTGCTATGCAAATGTAGGGCAAAAGGGTTGATGGGCAGGTAAGGAAACAGGTCAAACCACTTTACCCAGCTTTCCTCTTGCTATGGACTTACTGTGCACCTGAAGATTCTGATTTTGTTGTTCATAGCTAAAATCAGGTCAAAATATGTATCCAGGTTTATATGAATACAGAACAATAAAAATGCTGCTGCTGGTGATGATGATAATACCTATTTTCACAGTCTATGGCACCTCAGTTGACTTCTTCCTGCTCACTCTTTTAAATGCCATGGGATAATACAGCTTTTTCCATTTGTTGCTAAAATAAAAAGCTTTGCAGAGCTCTTTGGGCTCCCTGTATAAACTGCTATTTCTAGTCCCTTCCCCCAAAATGGCATAAAAACTTAAAGGAAAATACATCAAAGTACTGACTGCATAGGACTTCCCTGATTTCTGTCAAAATCATATTGTGTTTTTACCAACAGAGAAAGAAACTTCATTACAGCTGGTCCCACAGATGCTCTGCTTTCCATCTATGGAGAAATATATACATTTTTATATATCACATCTGCAGTACAGAGGAGTGAGAGATGACCTACATGGCTTTAGATGACCCACTTGAGCTCAGTGAGCTGTGGGTGAAAACAACTAGATAAACCATTTTTTTGTAGATGTATAACCCAAATTACATTATACATATAAATGAAGCTGTGTAATCTGGGAACTACACTCAATATTAGCCACATTGGTCCAACAGAATAAAACAAAAACAGTGCAAAAGTCAAATGATAAATCAGAAAAAAAGGAATGGCAGTTGTTCTGTGGAGGTGAGAGATACCAGTTTTGTGACTTCTTATAAGAACATGGTGTTTCCACAATGAAAAATTTATCTGTGCAGTCTCAGTAGGAAAATCTTGATTTTGAATTGTAGGAAGATAAAAATACTATCTATAAATACTTTTGCATTAGATTGCCTAATACAAAAAGCATTGTGATGTCACATCACAAAAAAGGAGAATTTGAAATGTGTTTAGTAAAAGGAAAATTGTTGCAATTTCAGAGACAGGCAAGAAACAAGAACACACTGAGTTCATGCAGCAACAGCTGAGCTTTCTCGTTGGGTGCCCCCTTTTATAGGGGTTTCCAATTTACCATGCTTACAAATGTGATTGGCTAAGGGTCTTAACTCTGCCCAGCTCACCGTTCAATGATATGCATGCATTCATGGTTCAAAAGGATTGGCCAGAGTCCTCTGTTTGAGTTTGAATCCAACTTATCATTAACATACCCAGGGACTTGTTTACTTCTACTCTCTAACAAGCTAGGCTGGTCCAGCTGGTGTCAGTTACAGTTGCTTTATCTGTGCAGTTCCCCGTTTCCTGTTTAAAAAATGCAAAGTGTTCTTTGTCATCTTGTGTGAGGCCTCTTACAGAAAGAATGACAAAGATAGCACAATGGCACAGATAATAAACCTAGTTTAAATAAGACTTTTCACCCAACTCAGCAAGCCTAGCCCCTCCCAGCCAGTGATGCATATATTGGTGAAGATGTAATGTAACATTCAGACCCAGGAGCTGTCAAACGGGATTACCAACAACACAAGTTTCCAAAATGGCATGCTGCAGCCTCATTACTTGGAAGTTACAACTTTACAACTTAACTCTACAAACATGAAACATTTAAGCTTCAGAACTATGGGAAAACCAACCAACAGTTTGGGTTTGTGATTCATATCCTTAAACAGATAAAATCTTAGGTCCTCATATATTTAAATATATACAATCCTTAAATAAATTGTCATCTCAAGAGTCCCAGCTTTCCATGATGATTGCAATGATGAAAAGTGACTTAAAACTACAGGATGCTGGGAATTTTCTAATAGTGTCAAGTGATTTAGGGTATAGACAGCCTCAGACACTCCACTCTGGGGTCTCACCCGACATTTCACCTTTTCTGTTTAAAAAGAATACATTTTAAAGTGCTATGTGTAGGTTCCACAATTTTTAGTTTTGGGACTCTAAATAAGGCTACATTTACAAGCTGTCATTAATTTAAGGGGACATGTGGCACAGCACAGGGATCTAGAAGCCTATGCCTTGGGTTTTACTCTGCATAGCACATTTTTTCTTTGAAGGATTTATGCATAATCATCGAATTGAAGGTGACAAAGCTGAGTGTCACACTGCCCTTATTCAGAGTTATTACAAAGTGTGTCCAGTCAGCTATGAGGGGGTAAAGTCCAGGTAATATTATTTGGAATGCTGTACGAGTATGATGTATGTAAGGCTTTCCTTTTACATGCATATTTAATAGGTATCCTTTTGGTGTTGTCTCAATCACTTTGGAAGCTTTATATTGTAAGTCTAGCTGGATTGCTACAGCTTTGTTAATTGTCAGATACACCAAAAATAGTCAACAGCTCCCATCCTTGAATAATATGTTTGCACAATTTTAAATGACCAAGAACAGAACCTTAATTTAGATTTGGAAACCTCATAACTGAAACTAAGATTTTTGGAAGAGGAAAACAATACCTTAATGTTTCTTTTTCTTTGGAGGGTAATATCAACCTGTAAAATTACTGTAAGTTTTATACAGAAGTAAGTTATTAAGTTAAACTACAATCCTTAAGTATTACACAATATTATACTGAAATTTAATGCATATTTGAAAAGGATCCAGCATTGCTAATCATATTGAGCAATGACATAAACTGTTTGAAGTCCAAATAAAGTGTAGATATAAAAATGAACAGGCACTAGGTATTACTGAATTGAAAGAATCTTATACAGAATGCTGAAAAACACCTTCTGATAAACATTTATTCTTTTAAGTACGTTAATTGTCCTCAAGGGTCTAAACCATGTAAACCTTGCTGCATGGAAGCAGCCTGAATCATCTGTTTGTAGTAGGAATAATAAAGTCCACACTCAGTTCTGAATGAAATTCTCCTTGATATTGGAAAACCACAGGTCATTTTCACGCAGTGTAGCCACATAAAGACAAGTGAAAAGTCCAAGAGAGATGGCATCAATTCCACAAAGCAAACCTTCATTATAGTTGTGTAGGTCATAGTCAAGTCTAGGGGGTTCTCTGTTAACTTAAACATAACTTAACTTAAAGCTTATGGTAATATCAAGAGTGTAACAGTATACCTTTCTTCCTGGTTTTAAAAACAGATAGATTTTTCTTTAGGGAGATTGTCCAGCTGTATTGATTATCCACCCTGCCTGTGGTGTACTTGTCTTGTTATCGATGCAGAGCAGGGTAAGTGCGCCAGCGGGCTGGATGCAGCGTTAGGGCTCCGGCGTTAGGGGCCCGGGGTTAGGGCCCGGCGATAGGGCCCGGCGTTAGGGCTCCGGCGTTAGGGGCCCGGGGTTAGGGCTCCGGCGTTAGGGGCCCGGGGTTAGGGGCCCGGCGTTCGGGGCCCGGCGTTAGGACTCCGGTGTTAGGGGCCCGGTGTTAGGGCTCCGGCGTTAGGGGCCCGGGGTTAGGACTCCGGCGTTCGGGCCCCGGCGGCAGACAGCGGTTGCTAGGCAACGTGACTCGTCGGAGGAGGCGCCGTG